TGACTTTTGGAAAAAAGTTTGTTTCTTTTACAGAACAGCATTATGTTCTGATGATAATGGATTCACTAGCTATAATAATTATTAAATGATTTAATTTGAACCAAAAGAGATTGATTCTTTCAACTACTTTTTTAACTGATAATGAATAGAGTACAAATTGGCACCAGTTTATTTATTTACCATTTGTTTATAAGGCACAACAGTATTTCTAATCTAAGTATAATTGAACATTCTATTAAAGTTCAAACCTTTATGCACCAATTAATATATTTTTGTCTAATATGTATAGGAATTTAATATCACTTCACTATAGTCTATTTGAGGAGCTTCATCCAAATTATATTCCGGAGATCATTTAGGACAACATTTAGAAGATCTAGGTTTTGGAAGCCATTCGAGTTTACTTTTAAATTACCTAATTTGTAATAAATATTTAATTTAGAAGGCACTTGGATTAATATAATATATCATTACATTTGCTAGAATGAATACAATTATAAAGGGCGTGTTTGGCCTAGGTAAGTACTTACTAAACTTAGTAAGCCAGTAAGCATAAAAAAATTAAAGTCTTACAAGCTGACTGTAGCGCTTTTCGGCCAGGACAGACTTACTGGCTTATTAACATAAACTTAAAACACCGGTTTATGTCATATCCCGTACATATCTGAACAATGACAGGTCTGTTCCTGTCCGTTTTGTTTACATCAACAATAAGCAAAATGGCGTCGTATATTAAGCCATACTTACTGCGTTAGCACTTATTTTGTGTCCCGGCCGAAAATTTTGTAAGCATAGTAAGTGACTTACTAAATTTAGTAAGTACTTACTTCGGCCAAACACGCCCAAAATATTACATGTCAAAATATTAACCTCCTTCTTCAGTTTTTTTGAAGTTGGTCAAATATAAATCTTTTTTTGCCCAGTATTTTTTGTGATTTAAATGTGCTTAGTTACAGCAAGATATTAAGCATTTTTATTCCTTTTCTGGACAAATTATTAATAAACTATGTCATTAAATTTGTACTAATTTTGTTTGAATTAATTTAAATATAATTTTATCAGACATATTTTTACCACCAAATTGACAGTATCATAATAGTACGGGAGGTAGCAACGTTTTCGAGAAAGAATTTTAGGTCAGCTGATTTTGTGATATGTCTTCCTTCTTGCACTTTCGGTTAGAGTCTTGGCAATCTGGCTGGCGGTAGCGGTTGCGTTCTTTAGTGCGCATCCTATCTATCCAGGTAATATCCTGGATTTTAAAAGCATTTTAAGAAGCGTAATTTTTAATTTTTCGTTTTTAAATAAGTCTACCTGACATACTTTTTTTATTGCCAGACATTTTTCACATTGCTAACTATGTGCCAGACGCGATTTTAAGTTTTTTTTTTATAAAAATTTCAAAGTATTTTAGAAAGTCTGTAATTTTAATATTATGTTATTTAAATATAAGAAAATCTAAAAATGAATTTGCCAGACATTAATTCGGTTGTTAAGTCTTGAATTAAAATGAAAAAAGTATTGCAGTATGATGAAGCATTGCATTTTAAGAAGCGCAATTTTTAATTTTTCCTTTTTTAAATAAGTCTACCTGACATACTTTTTTTTATTGCCAGACATTTTTCACATTGCTAACTATGTGCCAGACGCGATTTTAAGTTTTTTTTTTATAAAAATTTCAAAGTATTTTAGAATGTGTGTAATTTTAATATTATGTTCTTTAAATATAAGAAAAACTAAAAATGAATTTGCCAGACATTAATTCGGTTGTTAAGTCTTGAATTAAAATGAAAAAGTATTGCAGTATGATGAAGCATTGCATTTTAAGAAGCGCAATTTTTAATTTTTCCTTTTTAAATAAGTCTACCTGACATACTTTTTTTATTGCCAGACATTTTTCACATTGCTAACTATGTGCCAGACGCGATTTTAAGTTTTTTTTTTATAAAAATTTCAAAGTATTTTAGAATGTCTGTAATTTTAATATTATGTTCTTTAAATATAAGAAAATCTAAAAATGAATTTGCCAGACATTAATTCGGTTGTTTAGTCTTGAATTAAAATGAAAAAGTATTGCAGTATGATGAAGCATTGCATTTTAAGAAGCGCAATTTTTAATTTTTCCTTTTTTAAATAAGTCTACCTGACATACTTTTTTTATTGCCAGACATTTTTCACATTGCTAACTATGTGCCAGACGCGATTTTAATTTTTTTTTTTATAAAAATTTCAAAGTATTTTAGAATGTCTGTAATTTTAATATTATGTTATTTAAATATAATAAAAACTAAAAATGAATTTGCCAGACATAAATTCGATTGTTAAGCCTTGAATTAAAATGCAAAAGTATTGCAGTATGATGAAGCATTGCATTTGAGGAAGCGTTATTTTTAATTTTATTTTTGTTCAGAATCAGAACAGCGTAAAACAACTTCTGCGTCAAAATCGATTTGGCAAATATGAAAAATAATCCTAGAATCAGCTTCTTCGTGTTCTTCACACGATAATTATTCTTCAATAGTTTTAATTACTTAGTTATTTATCACTTTGTATGAATAACATTTATTAAAACTTACGTAAATGTTTTTATTACCAATGAAAGGCATCATACTGACATACTTTTCATGACTTTTTCATTTTAATTCAAGGCTTAACAATCGAATTAATGTCTGGCAAATTCATTTTTAGATTTTCTTATATTTAAATAACATAATATTAAAATTACAGACATTCTAAAATACTTTGAAATTTTTATAAAAAAAAAACTTAAAATCGCGTCTGGCACATAGTTAGCAATGTGAAAAATGTCTGGCAATAAAAAAAGTATGTCAGGTAGACTTATTTAAAAAAGGAAAAATTAAAAATTGCGCTTCTTAAAATGCAATGCTTCATCATACTGCAATACTTTTTCATTTTAATTCAAGACTTAACAACCGAATTAATGTCTGGCAAATTCATTTTTAGATTTTCTTATATTTAAATAACATAATATTAAAATTACAGACATTCTAAAATACTTTGAAATTTTTATAAAAAAAAAACTTAAAATCGCGTCTGGCACATAGTTAGCAATGTGAAAAATGTCTGGCAATAAAAAAAGTATGTCAGGTAGACTTATTTAAAAAGGAAAAATTAAAAATTGCGCTTCTTAAAATGCAATGCTTCATCATACTGCAATACTTTTTCATTTTAATTCAAGACTTAACAACCGAATTAATGTCTGGCAAATTCATTTTTAGTTTTTCTTATATTTAAAGAACATAATATTAAAATTACAGACATTCTAAAATACTTTGAAATTTTTATAAAAAAAAAACTTAAAATCGCGTCTGGCACATAGTTAGCAATGTGAAAAATGTCTGGCAATAAAAAAAAGTATGTCAGGTAGACTTATTTAAAAAGGAAAAATTAAAAATTGCGCTTCTTAAAATGCAATGCTTCATCATACTGCAATACTTTTTCATTTTAATTCAAGACTTAACAACCGAATTAATGTCTGGCAAATTCATTTTTAGATTTTCTTATATTTAAATAACATAATATTAAAATTACAGACATTCTAAAATACTTTGAAATTTTTATAAAAAAAAAAATTAAAATCGCGTCTGGCACATAGTTAGCAATGTGAAAAATGTCTGGCAATAAAAAAAGTATGTCAGGTAGACTTATTTAAAAACGAAAAATTAAAAATTACGCTTCTTAAAATGCAATGCTTCATCATACTGCAATACTTTTTCATTTTAATTCAAGACTTAACAATCGAATTAATTTCTGGCAAATTCATTTTTAGTTTTTCTTATATTTAAATAACATAATATTAAAATTACAGACATTCTAAAATACTTTGAAATTTTTATTAAAAAAAAAACTTAAAATCGCGTCTGGCACATAGTTAGCAATGTGAAAAATGTCTGGCAATAAAAAAAGTATGTCAGGTAGACTTATTTAAAAAGGAAAAATTAAAAATTGCGCTTCTTAAAATGCAATGCTTCATCATACTGCAATACTTTTTTCATTTTAATTCAAGACTTAACAACCGAATTAATGTCTGGCAAATTCATTTTTAGTTTTTCTTATATTTAAAGAACATAATATTAAAATTACAGACATTCTAAAATACTTTGAAATTTTTATAAAAAAAAAACTTAAAATCGCGTCTGGCACATAGTTAGCAATGTGAAAAATGTCTGGCAATAAAAAAAGTATGTCAGGTAGACTTATTTAAAAAGGAAAAATTAAAAATTGCGCTTCTTAAAATGCAATGCTTCATCATACTGCAATACTTTTTCATTTTAATTCAAGACTTAACAACCGAATTAATGTCTGGCAAATTCATTTTTAGTTTTTCTTATATTTAAAGAACATAATATTAAAATTACACACATTCTAAAATACTTTGAAATTTTTATAAAAAAAAAACTTAAAATCGCGTCTGGCACATAGTTAGCAATGTGAAAAATGTCTGGCAATAAAAAAAGTATGTCAGGTAGACTTATTTAAAAAAGGAAAAATTAAAAATTGCGCTTCTTAAAATGCAATGCTTCATCATACTGCAATACTTTTTCATTTTAATTCAAGACTTAACAACCGAATTAATGTCTGGCAAATTCATTTTTAGCTTTTCTTATATTTAAAGAACATAATATTAAAATTACAGACATTCTAAAATACTTTGAAATTTTTATAAAAAAAAAACTTAAAATCGCGTCTGGCACATAGTTAGCAATGTGAAAAATGTCTGGCAATAAAAAAAGTATGTCAGGTAGACTTATTTCAAAACGAAAAATTAAAAATTACGCTTCTTAAAATGCTTTTAAAATCCAGGATTATTACCGGACAGATAGGATGCGCACTAATGAACGCAACCGCTACCGCCAGCCAGATTGCCCAGACTCTAACCGAAAGTGCAAGAAGGAAGACGTATCACAAAATCAGCTGACCTATAATTCTTTCTTTTCAAACGTTGCTACCTCCCGTACTATAAAATGGGTTAGAACCATTTAGTTCCGTTGGCCATGACTTGTCCACATGTGTTCTTTGAATGTTTCCCGCATAGTAAAAGACCTTGGGCACAAATAGCAACACAACCTATTAGTAAGATCTGAATGCATTAATCTCACATGATATTTCAAGGCCGATTGATTTGAATATTTCATACCACAGTGTGGGCAGTCCCCACAAATAGCTGCATGATTCGATTGGTGACCGCTTTGAGAGGTAGAAGCACCAGAATTTAATGGACCTGACATACCTGCGAGTATCATTAAGGCCTGGGACTGTTCAGAATATGTGTTTTCTTTAGAATCTTGCTCCGACAATAATATTTCTGGCTCATAGTCATTATCAGGCTTTGGAGATGGTTTTTCAATTTTAACAACAGCATCATCTATTTTTAATGGACTTTTTTGTGTAAATGTACTTTCCGAGTTTGCTTCCTTTCTGTTGGCATTTTGTACTTCTACGGGCAGTTTTTTCGTGCATGGATCACTTTTGGATGGATTGATTCCTGTAATGCATGGGATTTTTTAGAACATTCCATAGTAACTTACATTTAATATGGACAAATATTGTTGTATTATATATTTGTTAAGCTATATATACCATATTTTTAGGTATTCCACATTAAAATTTATTTTGTAAAGTTAATCAAAATCTTAAATACAATACCTGAAAGTAGAGATCTAGCTAGCATGCTGTTTTCATAAGCAGGAAGGCTTTCATCATTATCAGAACTGAATGTAGCAGGATTTGGTGAGCTATTTTCTTCATTCCATTCCGTTTTCACAATTATAGGGCCTTCTTCTGTCTGAAAGTACCATTAATGCAAAAGTATTAATTATTATTAAATAATACATTTTGGCCAAAAAGTTAAATCATAAAAAAATTAATGATACCTTACCTGTTGATTCTTTCCATTGCTTACAACTGAAAATTCTTTATCTGCTTTGCGTTCAACAACTTCAGCTCCAAACATTGGATTGTCTACCTTCAATTGGGAACCATTATTTTTGTTATAAATATCACATGATTCGAGTATCTTGCTTTTCTTGTAATCAAGATTATTCAAGTCATTCGGTTTGTCGGAGGTGCTACTTCTTCGTTTCTTCAGGGCTGGTATTTTTGATTCCTTGTGAGTTACATTTCCATGAGACTTGGCATATATAGTCAGTTGGGTGTAAAGTTTATTTGTTGCATTTGATGGTGAGAATTCTTCATTCTGAAATAATATAAATTTATTAAATGTTCTACACAAATAACTGTGAATCCCCTATATAATCCATGTTATACATTGAAGATTGTATTTAATTGAAGATTTAATTTTGAACAGCTTAGAAAATAAATACCATTTCTGTATACATATACATGTAAAATGTTAAAATAACTATGGCATCGAAATTTATCAGAAATCTAGCTATTTTTGCACTTGGTATTGAAATGAAAGATCTAATACTTTATTGCAACTGCTACTGTAATGTTATTACTTTTATTCATGTTATATATTATGTTTTATTACCTGATGGGTTACACCAGTTAAACCTTTTATTTGTAATAATGCTGCTGTATGCAAAAATGAAGACAATTTGCTTTCTTCAATAAATACTTCTCCTTGGTACATGTAAGACAACAAGCTCAGGATGTCATCAGCAGAGACATCTTTCAAAATAATAACAGGATGTTGACATGGGTTCTCCTAAAAAATATATATATTCAAACAGTTGGTCATATAACCCACATAATGCATTGCCAGCCTAATGCATTAGTAATATTATTAGTACAGATAGACGCGAAGGTTATATTCTCCCAAGTCATTCACCTTGAACACATTCCTAAAGTACGGGCTACACGCTGACAGTATTACTTTATGGGCCTTGATATTTCTGCCTTCACAAGTAAGTGTCACATCAACAAGATCCTCAGAGCATTTCAGGGAATCCAGAGCACTTACGATGTTTGTTTGAAAATTATTCCAACGTAAACAAAACTGATCTGCCATTGCTATGTTGTGTTTGCAAAAAGCTGGAAATATAAAAATACAATTCAGTGAATGAAATTCAACTCAAATTACAAAATATTTGTTAAATAACATACCTCTTGAGTCATGTAGTTAGATACTAATACAGTCATTAAGACGTTTTAATTTATTGAAACACGTCTACTTAAAGATTTGATGGAATTAATAAGAAAACCGTAAATAATATAAATTAAAAATAAAGTGCATGACCTCCAGTGACACAGTCTTCTTTCACTTTTTGCCATGGACTACAAATATTTTACCACAGACTTAGATCACAGAGAATATTTTTCAGCCCCCATATACAAACCAAAAACAAGTCCGAAAAAATATTCAATTTATAAAAATAAAGGGGTTTTATTGTAACATCCACATTAAATCATCCACACGGAAAACTTTTAAGTTAACATGGAAATGTTGTCAACAATAACCGAGACATCAAGTTAAAAATAATAATAATAACTGTTGTCTCTAATAATATATTGTGTTCATATTCCGAAGTGGTTATGTACGTGGTTGCCTTGTATATAAATATTTCGTCGTAGTAGATTAGTCATGAGATGGAAGTGACTGTTAATACAAAAATCTTAGATTTTTTTTGTTCATTCCCTGTAACTTCTTTTTTGTCATAACATAATTTACAACTAAAATTCGCCTGGCAGCCCTACTCGTATCACAGTTATCTGGTGCCAATGGACTTTGTATCCGGCTAATAAATAAATTAAAAAAAAAAAAAAAACACAGTTATCTGTCACTTGTCAGTAGTCTTCGTCTATAATCTGTCTATTGAATTTCCTAAATTCTAGAATCATTCCGATTAGCAATCAAATTGTGAAATAATAAAGCCGGTATTTTCTAAATTGAATATCAGGTAAAATAGTTATAAGAAGTGAGTATTTCATATCTTACCTTAAATAATTCCGTCGAAATAACGTTTTAATAGGTTTGTTTTGATACCATTAGACATTATCCACATGGTTACAGGTTGTAAACAAAAGAAGGTAAAAGGAGTTTCGTTTGCATTATAAAACACATTTCTCCTTAAAATGACCCACGATCCTGAAAAATTTGATTCTATGCTTCTTGCTATGGCGCAGCAACATGAAGGAGGAGTTAAAGATGTATGTAAATAATTTTAAATAAATAAAAAACTGGTTTCACGCTGTTACACTTAAAACATTATAAAGTTCATGTATTTAAGAAGAAACTTTAAATTTCAGTTATTGGATACAATAGTAGGATTTCTAGCAAGAAAAACCGACTTCTTTGTTGGTGGAAAGGAAGGCGAATGGGAAAAGGTATGTTGTATGTATAGCATAAGCACTATCTTGAATGTTGGGTCTTTAAACAATTATAGCAAATTCTAAGCTGCATTTTGTGACATAACCTCCTTAGGTCACTAAATTTCTTATTTATTTTTCATTAAAGTTAAATAGGGTTTTAACTTTAAACTTTAAACTTTTATTTAAATTATGTATACAGTCAAAATATTATATTATAATAATAATATAACATACACACATACACATATAATAATAATGACATTGAAGGGAATACTCATATTTGGTTGTAAAAACTGATAGTCGTAACAGTTGATGACGTTGTTATTAAGTACCTAATACAATAGAATTCAGCAGCGACATTTGATTTTGTTCAATATAACCGGTATGTATTTCTAAACGATGTTGTCTTAAATGGTTTTGACTGTATTTCCAAATTTATTGATTTAGTTATTTTTTGTAGGTGGTTAAAGATACATTTTACAAACATTCCGCTAAGGCTAGAGAGGAGAAAGAGAAGATAAAAAGAGATAAACTGGAAGCTGAAAAGAGACTAAAGGAAATACAACAGAAAAAAGAACAAGAACGTCTAGCTAAAGACTTTGAACCAGCTACTGTTACCGAATTAACTGATCAGGAGGCAGAAAATTTACAAAATGACCTAGAAAAAAATAAACAGGGCAGTGAGTATTAACCTGATTATATAAAATAATTTAAAGGACTTTGATCTGTAGCTTTAACAATTTTTTTTAATTTATGATACAGAGAGAAACTGCTGTATATTTTTTTCTGTTCGAGTTGAGGTAGAGATTTCTACTAATTCTATAACTTTTCTAATGTCTTATACAAGAAAATTAACCACATGAGTCTGGCATAGAAGACAAGGGACTTGTGACATAATCACTTTACGACATGTGTGACCCGCTAACACTTATTTTTTTTATCTGTCTTGCAATACATATTTTTTCGCAGAGGAAGAAGATGGCAGTGGTGATAGTGCATCAAATGATCCAGAAACTTCCACTGTACCGGATGAAGAAGATGATCCCAAAGAAAAGAACAAGTTAAAACCTAATTCTGGCAACGGATGTGACCTAGAAAATTACAGATGGACACAAACATTGGAAGAGGTTGAGGTAAGTCAGCTAATTCTAAAGGCTGTCATAGAATATAGGTTCTATGTACCGATATGTATGTGACTTAGATATATATTATAGAAAATATTTATACTAATGCTAATAATTTAAGCTCCGATTTGATGTATATATGTATTTCATTTCATTAAAATACCTATTTTTCCAAATGGAGTTTTAGGGGCGGGGCATCATTTTCTTTAAAATGACAGTATCCAAAATTAATTATCATTTACAATTATTTTATGTATACTTACAAATTTATTAATTTAATTATTTAATAAATTTAAGTGATGCCAAATTTATAACGTACACTGGATATGTAGCACTATAAGTTATTGTGAAACAAAATATTCTTTTTGAAATTGAATGCCAAATAAGAAGACTACAAAAATATAAACTATCATACTCTTATCTTGACTATTTCTTGCCGTTACCAGCAAGTATGAGCGTATATATGGACAGCTCCATTTACAATTAACACTACTACCATAAACCTATATAAAATACCAATCTATATTATATAAATAAAAACATACAATTTGCTAAAAAAAGTAAAATTATAATATGTATCCGTGTTTGAATTAGACCTGGGCGGACACATATCTGCATCTGTTGCAATTAATTGCTTTCTTTTAAGCTGTTTAGCAATGTGTATAAATAATAGTATTTCACCAGAAATTCACCCCAGGTGATTTCAAAAAATTGTATTAAACGGCGTTAGACCAAACTATGGGAACAAGTATGGGAATGTTAATTAATTTCTTATATCTGACAAAGATCTTTAGGGATTGATTTATTAGATAATAAGGTACTTAATAGGCGTGTTTATTTTAAATATTGCATCTTTCTAAGGAATAAATATGTATTTATTGTAGTTCCTAATAAGGCTGATAGGTGGCGCTTGTATTAAAAAATTAAGTAGTGTATTCAAGGCGTACGTGCTGTCAAAAAACCTTGTGGTGCAAATCGTAACTAACGAGTTCTTTAAATAAGACAATAAGTAAAGATGTTACAACTTGTAGTTGTAATTTTGTATTAATTTAAAAGTTGGTGTTTTTTAAATATATAGACAGAGTTAGATAATATGTTACATTGTTTTTAATTATGTTACCTACCAGTTACTTGGCACAACACAATTTATAACCAGCATATTCGGGAAATCTAACAAGTCGTAGTCAGGTTATTTCATAATCATGATTTTACGTTGTCTTGTCGAGAAAATGTTGAAAACCTGATTTATAATATGTAACTCATTTTCATACAAATTAAAAACCTTTTCACTTTAAATCCATTTATTGGTAGTATTTTATGATATTTAATTAATAATTATATATTAAAAGTCTCATAATTTTTACTAAGATTAAAATTAAATATTTTTAATTCCAAAGAAACTCGTTCGTTTTGTGATGGTACCATCAACAAAATTATTTTTTCAAATCGTTCGATCATTTCAAACCTTCAACAAAACAAACAATTTTTTATTATTATTAGTGTATGTAAAATAAAATAAATCGTGGAAAAAAATAGTTTCAAAATATCAGAATTGATATTATACGCCGATCGCCTCCATGACTTTCTGACTCTATTGTTATCGGTCCAATATTATCTAATTTCTAAATGTACACAGATTTTATTGTTTGAAGGCCCATAAGCCCCTTAGGAAGGGGAAGCGTCCAGTATTATATTACTAATTTATTCTCTAGGAATTACGAAACAATATAACATAGGCAAAATAATAACTATAGCACTGGGAATCGAACACTTAGTGGTTGGGATTTCACTTTTGGTTTTCCGACTTAAAGACTAGAGGATATGGTTGAAATAAATAAAAAACCTTACGTATTATCGTGTTTAATTATCACAGATTATAAATTAAGAAATATCTTTAACTGGGGCATACAAGTTAATTTCTTATAAAAAATTGTGCTAAATATTTACATTGATAACACTAATTCAATCTTCACTGGCATTTTGCTAGAAGTGTTAAACTATTACATTCCTTCCTAAATCGTCTGCGTTATATACACTTTGTATTGTGAATTTAAAATACGCAAGTTTTTATGCGTCTCTATCATGGTTAAAATTTGCATGATATGGTCTGTATACTAGTGTCCATTTGTATTAAGTTTTGCGTATTTGAGTTTAAATACTTTATTAAACTAACCGTAGAGCAGTAGTAAAGCGTATACGAAACTGATTTACAATAATATACGTTATATTTACCGAAACAGTTGCTTATATTATTAAAATATACTGTTTAAAGTTCCTGATACATTCTGCACAAACGTGATACCATTGCTTCGCCGGATCTAACTAGGGTCACCGTGTATGTGGCAGCTTCGGGTGCAGTCGAAGTTTATATTCCTTGAAATAGTGTTTCTAAAACACATATTTCATTTTCGATTTGATTAAAGTATAATATATTTTTTAATTTCTACTATTCCTTTATTAACATAGTAAATATAATCACAGTTATCTGCTTTTAATAATTTACTTAACTAGAATGTGATTTGAGCACTGAATTGTTCTAAATACCAGTTACTAGACGTAACTAATTATTGCACTAATTTATTCAACTAAAATCTAATTACACAATCGTATTTAAGATCGCATCCATGCGATAAAAACCGAGATAGATTTCTAATTATAATTATGGATAAAACAATCTAGGTGTATTAAATCATGAAAAGGTTATTCTTAAATCTGATATTTCAGATGACCAAGGTAAAACTCTAATGTCTTTATAAACGTTCCATCGAGAGTGTTTTGTCATTTCAAAAGACAAAATAGCTTCCGGAAGTGATTTTATAAAAGCTTTAGTACGTCTATCTGGCCGATGTCAATATAATTGTATGCTTAAATAAAGCATCAAAATACAATTTCCATTAATTTATGAAATTTCCAGTTATTACTTATATAATAGCCTCACTATTATAAATAACTATAACTAATTCGTCGATTGAATGCTTTCTAACCGTCTCTAAGAATATTTGTACATTCCGGTTTCTCTTCGCATTCGCACTGAAACAAAAAAAATTGTTAATGCATTTGCAACTGCAGATATGTCGGTTCAAGTTCTGACGTAAAGTACAATTACGCCACGGCCTACGTTATATATAAGGTTAGCCTCGAAAGAAGTTTTTAGATTAATCATAAATATGTTATTTAAAAGGCTATGATTACAATATTATGATTACGGTATAAATTTATTTTCGTAGTGAAAGTCAAAATAATTTATTCATATAGGTAACACAATGTACACTTATGAACGTCAAAAAAGAAATATACATTAAAAGCTTCTAATGCTCTTTAATGCCAGATCTCAAATCAAGGGCTTAGAACGTACGAGAACTGTCAATAAAAGTGATCTCAAAGTAGTCAAAAGAAAGTCCCTCCCGAGGTAGTTAAAATCTGACTTTATTTTTATTTAAGTATCGTTAACAGTAGGTTTAATGCTCATGCCTTAGCGCTAATATCATTCAAGGGTGTGTTAACCATGTTCGCCCCACCTTTATGATTATAATAGAAATACATGGTATAACCTAAGTTCATGTCTATTTGTCAAGGTTGTTATTGGCATGTAACATAATTCCTTCACCTTTTGGATAGAAATCGCTCAGTGAACAAACATTTGCATTCGAAAGAAATGCTAAGATTGTTGAACTAAATATTGTAATGTCGTAATTTAGTTGAACGTTGGGAAGTACTTGGTAATCTTGGTGTTGTGAGAAGATATCGTCGTTGTAGAATGATAACCTCGTATGTCAAAAAACTGTTTATTTTTAATTGTTAGACTCATTTATTAATAACATAAATAAGTCCTTACTTCATGGTTACCATCCAAAACTATGGACAAAAACACATAATAATATTTTAAGGAACATTGACGAAATGAAACATTTTTCGTTTCCTGTACTTTCTACAGCGACGATATGTTTGCCCTTATTATTAAATGTACTGGTTTCTCTTAGCTATAGAATAATCAATCTTATGGTACTTTAAAATAAGTTCTTCAAGCTTGTAAGTTTTTGAATAAGGCCGTATTACTTGACTGTTCAATCCTATCCTTTAGCTATTAAACTATGATGGCTTTGGTATAGTGCAAAAGTCTGAATAAGATTTAATTTATAACGGTGAAGGTACTGTGAATTTTTTGGCGTTGCAGTCGTTATATGTATGGAATCGTGATAAAAATCTAAATTTTTCATGCAATATCAAACTCAGTGCATACTTACTTTCGACAAAGCATATAGCAGCCAATATACAAGCAGAGAACAGAATCGTCATACAAATGACTAGGACTGTTATCTGATGGGATTGGTTGCAGCAACAGGTTTTTGGCTCCTTCGTCGGTCGATGTTTCGTAAAACCATTCACCACTGTAAAGTGGGTGGAGCTGGCTAGTGATGTTGAATCTTGTTCCGGTATGGAGCCACGTTTGACGTCCTTCCATAATGTATCGACACTTTCTTCTGGGATCGATACTACGTTGGTAAAGGCAGGTCTTGGTACCTGCTCGTAGTTTTGATTACCATTCAATTGTACTAAGTGTGCAGCTGTTAGAAGAAGTGATCCGGATGAGACGCTCTGTAAAGTATATAGTAATGTTAATAATGATAGAATCGAAGACTGGTATGTTTAAAGCTTTCATTTTTATTTTACTTGTCATACTTAGAATGTTTTGTAATGTTTATTTTCTAATTGGCACAATATGTAAAGAGGTAACATTCAATTATGAGAAATGAATGTGCAAATTACTGTCATCTCTAATGAATCTCTCTCAAAGCTTTACTCTCATGACCATTTCACAAGTGATGCAAAAGATATATTTTCTTTCGATTTATAAACGAGTGTTTGGTTCGATTGGATCGTAGATCGTAGACCATTGGATAATAAAAAAATCAATATTAAATGTGTCGTTAAATTTATTATTATAAATCTTTATTATATATTGTTCAACGATTATATTATTTACATAACTCGACCTTTCGAGATCTTTTCAGCATGCGTGGTCAGCGAGAGACTGTCGACAGAGTCAGAGCGTGTTGAAATAAATTTGTTCCAAGTCCCATTAATCTTTTGTATTAATAAATTGGGAGAAAATATAAATCGAATCGAATAAATGACGTTTTTTTTAAGAGCTACCTATAATTTTCGATGGCATTTTGGCAACCTAAATAGAAATGTTATAATGCCTCTCCAAGGCTTCTTGCATCAGTATTATAACAGTAGATGATGAACATTACATAATATGATCTTTATATCCGCGTTCATTTATCTATATCCGGATTGTTTTCATCGTTAAAGATAATTATACGTGAACTTTGAAACAATATATGTAGATGGATTAGATAATTTATCGTATACTATAGTTCGAAATGTAAAGTACATCTTGTGACTTTGATTTTTATAATTCCGAGCAGGAGATAGTGCATTTTTTAAGCCGCTAAATTTGTATATTTATGCGTTGAGAGCTGTGTTGGCCTAGTGGTTTAAGCGTGCGACTCTCATCCCTGAGGTCGTACGTTAGATCCCCGGTTTTGCGTGGACTTTCTATGTGCGCATTTAACATTCGAAAACCGGCTTGCCTTAGATCCAAAAAGTGGACGGTGTGTGTCAGGCACAGGAGGCTGATTACCTACTTGCCTATTTAATTGACTAAAGATCATGAAACAGATACATAAATCTGACACCCAGACCTGATAAGTTTGTAGCGTCACTGATATTTTTTTCTCATCAATTGACTTGCATTACATTCAAATCGAAGTGCTAGAGGAAGCCAAGATTTGTTTAGATGAACAAGTGTTTGTTATTACTATTTCGGACATGGCAATTCTTCAAAGACTTTTTACAAAAAGGTTTATTATTGAAATCACTTTTACATAAATAATGACGGGAATATAAACAGAAGAGTAACATTTAAAAAAAGTTTGTAAAATTTTGCAAAGCGGCACGACTGATAAGGATTTTATACAACAAGGTTATTTCAATAATACTTTAAATTCTCATGAATAATTATTGCCTTTGAATTACCGGAGTACCTACTAGGTACTAATATCGGAACGCTATTAATGAAATAATCTTTGATGTCTTGCTTGGTCACGTAAGATTCATAGTAAGACTTATGTCATTTATTTTAAAACAAATTAATGATATAATTGGAGACTTACGTGTGTGCTGTGATTACTAGAAGAGCCTTGGCTGGAGGCGGAGCCGCCTCTAGAGCGGGAATCATTGATACTGCCCGCACTAGATAAAGACGGCCTCGGTATGTGCCAGTTCGTTGTAATCTGAAATTTGCATTAGTTTTGATTTAAGGTCTGTCCAAGGATATACTGGCATTGGTTTAAAGAAGTTTATTCTCATTAAAAACATACATGTCACTAAAATGAGAAACAAAATATTAAAAACATAATAAGTTAAATATATCACGGTAGATGTATCTATATGATTAGTGATATGCCGGCGACATGTGGGATTCAAGTTAAATTAAATGCATTGGTATTTATTTATGTAATTTTTTTAAACTAAAATGCATTCTTTATTTATACAGCTGCCTACTGTTTACAAGGCTTCTGTCACTTCTTTAATTTCATCTCTGCTAAATTGCAGCAAGTTTTTGCGTGAATCTAATGCACTGTAGCGTGTTTTAAGTTATTTATATGGGGCTTCAGCTATCGAAAATGGTCTGAAGGTGACCCGAATGACAAACAAGACAAAGCTGTAAAAACTTATATTTCTGCCTGTGTCATTAACTGTTTTAGTTTGACCTTCAAGTCTTAAGTCTTAACTATTGAAGATTTTATTTGATTATTTTTCCGACCCAAATATCGACCAATAGAATTGCACCATTCGACGTCACGTGGTACAACCTACATGGTATTATACTGATAATTTTTTGAAAATTTTCTCTGGTAGTTGCTATATATAAAAAACAAAACATGATCCAGTCAAATTAACCACACGTCAAACTGACAGGTTGAATTCAATTGTGAAAATTGGAGATTTTGCATGAAAATGAGTCGATTTGGAGTTTGTTCTCTGTCCACCATCGATAAAAAAGTCAAAGGAAATGTTCCCATTAATACGGAGAAGTCAAAAAAAAACAGTTTGGAACCAATTTACTACTTTTTGTACTGAGAGGGAATACACATTGGGTGCTGAAACGAGTGAAGCGCAATTGGCAAACATTATGAAAGATTACGCTTACAATATGAAGAAAATGGATGGAGAAGACTATAAGGAAGGTACAATAAAAATTGAAATTGATATTATAAATATGAAATTCTTATTTGTTAACTGTACATTTCGTCTCATGGTGCAATTCTATTGGCCGACATTTGGTACGGAAAAATAATCCCCCCGAATACCACACGAGTTCAAAATTATCTGGCATTTCCCGATAATTTTGAAGCTCTTGTGGTATTATAAGTGAAAATTATTATAAAATTTACGTTTCAATATATGCGTATGCTCATACTTGAATTTGTCAGCCCTAATACTATTTAACGGTAGACATAATAGAGACGACAATTGTGTAACGGCTTAATCCCGTGATTAGACAGAATTTCGTATAAATATTACAAATTTCTTATGAATTTCTCAGTCGTGATTTACTCTGTGATGTTTCATGAATTTCATTTTTAGGTCAAGTCGTCCGATTGATTTTGTCAGACAATATTCAAGGTTCGCGATCTCTTTATCTTTGCCGGCCTCCGGCGCAGACACAATTTTAGTTGTTTTTGCTCTCATGGACTCGTAAACCTTTGTTCTGTTGATAAGATGATGGATAGACCTTTAAGGCGTGTACGTTTATGGTAAATGATTTTGGTACCTTGTAGATTATTATTACGCGAGTAGTTGAGTTAGCAAGGCCTGTTTTAACAAAAATATTTGGTTGCCTAAAACATCACAAGAATTTCTTAAATATTTCACTGCTGAATTCGAAATGGTTCTTATATTACAAGAACATTTGCAAAGATTAATATACTGGATTTAGCGAACCTATTACATACACTTACACAAAAACACGATTTTAACCGAACGCGTTTCAATTAATATATCGAATTTTATATCAACTTTATTGTGTGTCATACATATTTTAAAAATATTTATTTATTAAGCTTAAAATGTTTATTGAAATTAATAGAATGCAATTACAATGAGGATATCCTGCGAGTTTTTGTTTACAAATAACCGGTTGTGATCTGTGCGATTGTACTTTGTGCAAAGCCTTAAACTTTCGCTATTCAAACTTTAGAACAAGTGTAGTTTAAGCGAGCTTGCGCTCGAAGTAAATTGGCTAGACAGTACGACGATGAAATTTAAAAATTAAGAGATATTTTTTATCGTTACCCTTATTAGGTGCGTCATATTTGTGTTAGATGAATAACATGATGTGTCAATCGATGTCGATCAAATGCGTTATTCCGTATTTCGAGAATCAAGGAATTAGTAGGATTTGTAAACTAGACATTTTCCTGTTGTGCTGTTCGTATTGGCTTCAGCGTGCTCTCATCCTTTAGTATGCTGGAACCCCGTCTCTGCACTAATGTACTTTTCATTAGTACATTTATCTCGCGTACGGTGAAGGAAAACATAGTAAGGAAACCAGCTTGTGAGACCCAAAAAGTCTACGGCGTGTGGCAGCCACAGACGGCTTATATTGATTGCCTATTAGAAAAAGCAAATGATCACGAAGATATCTTCCTTGTGTATTTTTAATTATTTATTTATTCGATAATTTGATGCATTTGAAGCGTTTATGTTTTATTATCAATGCATAATGCATTAAGTACTTCTATTGGCACGTGATTGTTGGCGGTCTGTCTAGGCCTGATAATTTAGTTACACACGTGGCTGTAACACGTTGGAGATTCTCGTCTTAGTAAATATGTAATTATCTGCTATACACGTGTTAATTGGTATGTGCTCGGAATTCGTACAATTCCTATGTTTCTATGACAAACAAGTCCCTAATATAATCCCAACTCAAAACTCACGTAGAGCTAATCCGCGTAATTAAACGCATATAGAATAAATCGAACTCAATACCGGATTTTCTACTGAACATACAATCCATTACTTTATGCTTAGATTGGGCGCGTTAATTTTGATGAAAATAATATCAAAATCCGTCAACAAAGATGTTGGTTACCAAAAAAGTCTAGTAGGCCACGTTATGCATAAAAATCAAATCATGTCGAATACCACTGTTTTACGCTTCTTGCTATAAAGCTTTTATAGAGAAGGCAGAGTTTTTGAGTTGTTAACACAGCAATTGTTAGAATTATTTATTTTTTATTATTAATGTGAGGGTACATACTAAAAAATGTGAGCAGACACCTTATTTAAAGAATGGTGGTACTACATACGTAATAACGTAGAATAAGTACGGATTTCATATTTTTGTTATACCTTCTGATTTTGTGCGTTCTAACTGCATTATACGGTAAAGTGTATTTAGATTAAAACACCGGTTATAAATTACGCAATGAAATCCTAACGAATCTAATTGCATGTAACTCGTCTACGCCTCTGCCAATAACGGTTATTGTGATCACGGTACATTACATCATACAAACAAACCTACTTTGACAAGTTGGTAAAGTAGTCCGATTGCAAAGACACCGACTGGCTCAATCCCGTCGGGTCTAATAAATTAAGTAAGGCGGTTGATGGAGTGGTTTTAATGTTGAAATATGAACCTGCGTTACTATAGGGAGATAAAGTCGACTCTAACTTAGCTACTATGACTCTTGATTACGTCTAAACGTATTGGATTTTGGGTGTATTATATCGCAAAGACTCAAAAGTTTACCCTAAGAGGCTTTCAAAATCGTACCAAATCCTTTAAAAACGCAACTTTACAACGTCTTGGTATTTATTTATTTTTATGTTCTAAAACAAACGTGTATGCATGAAATTATACAAAAAAATATGCCATCACAAATTTACACACATACACATGAAATACCTATACTAGAACATAAGCAAGCTAGCAAGGGGGAAAATTTAACAAACAACCACAAAATAAAATAATAGCTATATCTAAATGAAAACTTAAACCTCATTAAGAGCATTTTAAACAAAGTTACTGTAAGTTGGAACAATATTTTCATCAATGATAGCAATCAAGTTGTAAGAGCGAGATGGCCTATTCACTGGACCATTAAAAGTAGCAGATATAAAAGACTTTTAGTTCTAGGAACTCTAGGAATGCAAAGAAGGGGAAATTTTGTAAGAAGGTTAGTATGAGTTTTAAAGTTAAATATTGTTTACTAAAACTAGATCAATGAAGTCACGTCGGAGTTATAGAGTATCTAACTTGAAATAGTCCAAACGAGCCTCGTACGTTTGCAATAGACCACGCAAGTGTAGACATATTGCAATTTGCAGGTGTCTATGAGTTAAGCACTTTAACACAACCAAAATAACTAAACAGTTACAAATTTAAGCGGATTTAGCTTCCCATGCTCTTGTCGAGTGATTTCCAAAAAGAATGCGAAGAATTGCGATATTTTTTTGAATTAAGAATGTAATCGTCGGCTCATTGGTCTAGTGGTTAGTACCCCTGACTGCGAACCCATGGGTCCCAGGTTCGATCCCCGGCTGAGACAAACATCGATGTGATGAGCGTTGGTGTTGTGCTTAGGTCTTGGGTGTTTAAATATGTATTTATATGTCTATCTATCTATAATATGTATGTATATCCGTTGCCTAGTACCCATAACACAAGCTTCACCAGCTTAGCATGGGACAAGGTCAATTGGTGTGAATTGTCCAATCATAAAAAAAAATGCATTCAATGAAAATGTTATATTGTTTTTTATAATTCTTATCGATTGAATTCAAGAGTTTAAAGGTAAAAACTTACTGAGGATGTAAACTTAGGTAACATTAGTTTTTTAATATGTAATGACGATTGCTTTCCGTCCCACAAACATTTATGTAATGCTGCCATATAGTGAATGTTACGTAATGTTATTATAAGACTTGGGAGTTCAGTTACTAACTCTTGACTAACCTAGTATCTAAGAACGAAGAACGAATGTACTTTTGTAAAAGATGTTTTCAAAGGCTTATCAACCTTTTTCAATAGTCAAAAGTCAAATCATTAATTTCAATTACACCTCCTAAAATGGCACTTTTGAACGTTAAATAACATATAAGGATGATTCTAGTTGCCCCTTCCAAAAGGTAGTTTCGTGTGGAGAAGATTGGGCAAAAAACTCCACTCTTACTCTTTTAAAATAGGGTTTACAATATTTTGTATACATTAGTTAAATTATTATATGTGAAGACAATGTACTCCAAGAATAAAACTACTATACTAAAATAGGCACAAAGTATTACTTACGCTGGCCATAGACGGACCGCATTTTGCAGTCGATACCGACTGCTCTAAGCGGTCGCCGCACGGCGAACTGCAGTTTCCATACTAAATTCATATCCGCTATACACGGACCGCACGACAAGTTTGCGGTCGAGATTCGCCGTGCGGTCGACTGCTTAGAGCTGCCGGACCCACCATACACGGACAGCTACAAGCGGTTGCTGCCGACCGCGCGCCACTCCCTCCAATAAAATAAAATACTAACTAATTCATCAAATGAAACCACGGACATTTTAAAGTAGTTGAAAAACTTTTTAGTGTCTTCTCTCATTTGGGGATACAAAGTATGAAATATTCCATGCTGTTCTCTTGGTTGTAGTATTGGACGCATCCACATGCTAAGGTGTCTTCTACGGTTGCGTAATAGTAGTACAAGAAACAGTGTTTCTTCGTCGAAATCCATCTTATAAATGAACTCGCATCAGTTTTATTTTGCGGTCGAACACAACTGCTCTAAGCAGTCGTAGTCGACTGCATTATGCGGTCGTGTTGCAGTCGTGTACGACTTCAACACGACCGCTCTAGAGCAGTCGGTCTCGACTGCAACATGCGGTCCGTCTATGGCCCGCTTTACAAATTAAGCAAATTAATTTTCGTCGTTTGCTCGTAATAATTGTTTTTAATTATAACTTTATAAAAGAGTTTTTAAATATCTTCTAATAGCCTCAAGTATGTATCTTCTTGCTAGCGACGACCATTATTTTCAATCCAGCAAACATTTTAGTAATTTTAATAGGATTCACGGATCAACGCGAATTGGGCTTAATATTTCAAACGATCGGCAATCGTTGACATAGTTTATGTAATTCTTGTCAAAACTTTCCAAAACAATTGTTTGTCCAAAATGAATGACTAAATAAATTTTATTATCCCAAAAAGGTACCCACGGCAGATTCTAAAGCCTTTCCTTCCACTTTTCCGACGAAGTGTACTCTGTGGTCCTTTATACCGCGTGTATGTTAATGAACACAAGTTAGCGATAGATATATCTTGTCCACTTTCCATATCGCAGTTTCAACGTATTCTTCATAGCTTACAAAATTAAATTAGCACGTTAAACTTTTAAGTATTTTTAAATCATCTTTGTTTTTGAAGTTATACTTCTTTAGGCGCGTTATAAAAAATTGATGAGAGTGAAATTTTACGATGCGCGCGCACCGTGACACAAAATTAACAGAATGAAGTTGCCCACGGAAGATGCTAGGGCATTGGACATAATTTAAAAACAACATTCGAATAATAATAGAATTTATGGTACACTTAATGTAAGAGAATAATAATAAATATTTATTTATTTAATTTTTCAAATGTAAACTGAACTTTATTCACTATAATGACTCCTTTTCCAGTCTTTGAT